CAATTTCACTGCACTTCAGAAACACACCCAGTGAGAAGTTTCTTTGCCCGTTTGACTTCACCAGCTAATGAGTAAATGTCAGAGAAAAATAATCCACATAAATATTTTACATATCACAGATATGCAATATGCTCTGCTAAGCACATGGGAGATCCCTGGAGAACAATAATAAAGAATAAGACCTTTGACTTTTGGCTGTATTCTTTTGCATTTTACAATGTGTAGCCTTCCTTAAACTGTTTTTCTTTATGAATTCCTGCAGGAGCATTTTTCTACTTTTAAAGGTTTTCCCTAATCACCTCTTCTTCCCTTGAAATGTTAACATGGTAGACACATTGCATATATTCTGAATGCATAAATGTGATCCATATTTTTAAAAAAATAATAGTAGTTTTCTTCTCCCACTCCCCCAAGAACTAAGTTCCACCCATTTGTGGATGGCATAGTCCCATTGCCTTTTCATGCTCTGTCTAATACATATATTTAAAACAAATCAGATAATCAGTGTGATTCAACCTATTACATATACCTTGTATCTTTCTGGAGCTCATGATGGTCATTTTCTCAGTCGGTGCTATGTTTTTAAAATAGAACAATCTTTTTTTCTATAACTCACTAATTACTTGCTTAATGGATTCCAAGAATAGCAACTAAAGTATCTGCATCTCTAAATAGAAGACAACCTTGGTAGGCTAACAGGTGGTAATATTTATCAATTTACCATAATTCATTTTCCAGATTTACCCATTTTCATCCCTTACATATTTTTTATTCACCTGGGTGAAACTGTTTTAATAAGCCACATGGTCATTGGGAGATGGCCAGTATTTCTTCATCTTACTAATAATGTCATCATTTCCTGGTGGAACCTCCCTGTATCCCACTGTGTGCAAAGCAGGTGAAACTGTGCACATAGGGGCTAGGTACAGGTGCAGGATACAGGAGCCTCCTGCTCCTGGCAGAAAGGAGAAAAGCTGGAAATCTCTTGCTTGTGCCAAAGGAAAACAATGTGACAGCATTTAGCCAATCAAGCACTGTCTTCTGGGACTTTGAAACTCCAGCAATAAAAGCAAGACATAGGAAACAAACTCACTTGTTCATCCCAGTGGATTATCTGAAACAGACTCTTGCAGTGATGAGACAGATACTACCAGGACTCTTTGCTGCTTTCTGGAGTTACCTTGATCTTTCCCTCTGTTACTAGCCCAAGTGCTACTAATACCTAATTTCATTATCTCACTATTTCTTTCCAATATCCTTTTATTGTAACTTAAATTATCTAGCACTGGTTTCTATTTTTCAAAATCAATACATTCTAAAAAATACTAGAAATTCCTTAAGAGATTAAATGACTCAGTTACTTTGGCATGTCTCAGGAGACAATTCTAAGACTCTGTTACCCATTGTGGTAGCCACTACTTCCAAGTTGCTAGTTAAATTTAATTCAATTGAAATTATATAAAAACAGTAATTCAGCTCCTTAGCCACACCGGCTGTGCACTGGACAGCTTGAGATAGGACATTTTCATCATGGCTGCCAATCTACTGGAAGATACTTTCCTAAGGTGCTGAGCATCATTGGTCAAAAATGAGAGTGGCTAGAAATCCTCAGACAAAAATAAAAATTGGCTTGTGAGAATGAGATCTACCGCTTCCAAGGTTTACTAGCTATAATGAAATCTCTCATATAAACAGTGAGTCTACTGTACTACCTGGAACATGGTAATAATTAATATGCATTGAATCAACGGCTGTGATATCAAAGGCTTTCTGAGCTGTGAAAATGAAAAGAGTTTTTACCTGTGTGCTGTCTGGATATTTGATTTCTTACCTTCCACAGGTCCCCTGGAAGAAATTCAGGAAACATGTAGTACTTCTTATGTTTCTATTACTGGAAAAATTCTGAAATGAGATGACAAATAAAAGTGCTATACAAAGATTAATAAGCTAAGGCAGCAATACTCCGTGTGCACTTGCATAGGGTTTCAAAGACATTAATTTAGTTAAGTTGAAAGTCCAGGGAAAATAAATTAAGAAAACAAAGTCTGTGTCAAAGAAATATAGGCAGGCAATATTTTTGAGACACAAACCTATATCTTTTTCTCCAGACAACTGGCTTTCTTCTCCAGACTCCTACGCTGACCCAATTAAAACCACTGTTCTTTTCTGTGTTCTTTGCCTTAGGGAGGAAAATGATACAATGGGAAATAGAGAAAATACCTACCATCCTATAGATAGTTTCCAAAAGTCTGCGCCCTGAGGGGAAAGATAGTTCTGGAGGTAGAGACAAATGACTTGGAAGAAATATTAGTAGTGGGAGAAGTACTCAAAATCTGTCCTCTATTAAGCTGATTTTTGGACAAAGAGAAGAAAAAGGGAAAAAAATTAAAATGGATGAGAAGGCAGTTGCTGGTGGTTTCTGGGGGAAAGGGGGCTCAGAGTCTCATCTGAGGACCGCAGCCCCCTAAAGATGAAATGTCTATGCAGTTTGCATAGTAAGTTAGTCAGTCTTAGCTGAGCATCACACAGTCTTTTAAGAAATTCTCTGTCTCCAGAGCAGAAAAAATTGCATTGGAATGTATCCTGTGGAGACACACACCCTAGAGGTGGACGTCCAAAGAGGAATCTACATTATCCAGCTATTTATTCAATCCTGGCCTGGCTCAAATGAAAATGCACAGCAGCCAGACAGGATGAAGGACATATCAGAGGACAGTTTGCATGGATACATTTCTAATGGAGCAGACATCCCTGCCCTTGGGGCAAGGAACTTTCAAGCAGAGCAGAGTCCACACAGGGTGCCACTTTCCAATGAATGGTTTAGGAAAGCATCACATGCTGTAAAATGAACTAACAGACATTCCAGAACTGCTGGAGACAAGCGATGCCCCCAGTTTCTCAGCAGCACGCAGTGACTGCTGGGGCAAACACGGCCAGACATGGCATTGATCACACTCCCGAGAGAGAGATCTTGCTGTGGCACCTGACCTTTTATGTAGAATTTGTACGTGACCTGCCTTGCAGTTTAGGTGTGGGGCTGGCGAGGGAAGCAACACGGCAATGCTAGAAACTGTTTGCGTGCAGCATCTTAGAACATACAAAAATACCCAAAAGATGATACTGGAAGGTTAATATTTATTTTTGGATGAGGAGGAGGAAAGGTGTTGTAATATTTTTCATCCTTGAAACTTAACAAATTTTCCATAATAAATCTACATTTATTTTAGAATTAACTGTACTGGAAGTGCTATCTACATCCTTAACAGTTTTGGAATTAAGACATTAATTAAGCAAAATTTAACTAGGTCTGACATGATTAAAGTTTAATTTTGCTTAATGATCCATTTTCTATTCAGGTCAAGTAATATTAATTAAGTTCCATTCGTTCTCTTATTTATTCTCCCATTTTTCAGTTATTATTTCATTCAACTATTTGCCTTTGAAAAATGATTTATGGCAGAAGACAACCAGCTATATAGTCCAAAATCAAACCCCGATACCATCTAGCCTTTTTATGGCTTTCCAGCCAGTAGTGGCTTTTAAGTTTTCAAATGGTTTCAGAATAATCAAAAGAATAAGTTTTTTATGACAAGTGAAAATGATATGATATTCAAATTGTCTTCTGGGTCACAGTTTCCTCACTCCAAATAGAAAGGATGTGTGCGTGTGTGTATACTTCTCTCTCAATTCATGTTTCAGAGAACATTAAGAAAGTAAGGACACACTAAAAGAGTGGATGGTGGCTGTAGGATTTACTACATGGTCTAGAATAATGATGGCTCCTGGTTAGCTTAGGAAAAATCAATACTATGTCATTGTTTCTAATTTACACTTCTGGAATCATCTATCTCATGTTCTAACTGGAACATCTTCAGTTTATCATGCCAAAAGTATAAATGAGGCTACACTTACACATCCCAGACATGTTGCTCCCAATCTTAACCAACTCATCAGGGTAACTTTCTATCATAATTACACAAACACTCATTCCATACCTTTATCCAGAAAATAGGTCAGTGATCTTTCACAGGAAACTCCAATTTTCATTTTTGAAATTGACCGAGAATTTCCTAATGCCTGCAGCTGCATAATATATTAAGAAAAAGTTATGAATGAATTTGTGACAGAAAATTATAGAGTTTGTGACAGTCCTAGGTTTTTCTGATTGCACTATATAATAAGAGTATATTGGGTGATGACAAAAAAAATCTTAGATAACAAAATTAAATACTGAAAGAAAATTGACAGTGTAATAGTGGGCATAAGGTAATACATTCAGTTTATCAAGGATATATATGGAAATATGCTTTCAGATAAAATATTCAGCTTCACATTTCTGGTATAAACACATTTTAGTATTGGTCCTTAATGATTAAAAAAAAAACATGAATTTCACGGATAACAAGCTGAATACATGTTAGCTTTTAGTTTTTGCCTTACATACAGGGAAAGATACACCGTGATCCCCACTAAGCCATTTTCAAAGACATATGACCAGGGCAGTCACCTAGAACCTGAGCACAGAAACTCGAAAGGGCCCCATATTTGGTTTACTGCTATATCACCACCCATCAAAAGCGATGGATAGTTTTTGAAGCCAGGACTTTGCATTTTAATTTTGCACTGGGCCCGACTCTATATAATAAGTCCTGGTACCTTCCTCAGGGAAGCAATACCGTATTCATTGCAGTTTTGTGTCTACACCGTAGTGATTTTAACAGATCACGTGCTGGTTATTTTTTATCTCCCCCTTCAACCTCAGACCTGTTCTTATCCTCTCCCAGAAGCATATCGTTGGACAGGGGAAATAAAAAGCAAAAATGCAGAAAATGTTGAATACAAAAGTTTCAATTCACCTTCAACGTTTTATAATAAACATCTCTGCATGTAATTGAGGTGTTCTTTGGGACTATGAGTCTCACGAGCGTGTGAAATTATGCAAGGATGCAAAGATCTCGCGAGGTTATGACGTAGGCACGAGATTTTTTTTAAGGCAAAAGTAACGGCAGCCCTAGACCGGTGGGGGTTGGGGGGGCTGCAGGCTCAACACGCAGATGCGCGTCCTGCGTGCTGACCTGGTCTTCGGAGTAGGTGTGTCACTGGTGTCGCCAGGCACCAGTGTATAGAGTCTGGACCCGTTAACGGCTGTGGTGGGACCCCGCGTGTTCTCCGTTCTTTCCAGGGATGAGTCGTACGACGGTGGGAAACGCGCTGGGCGGTGTAGACCAGCAGTTTTCTGGTCTCGACCTGAACGCTTCTGGTCATCAGAGTGGGGGAGCGAGTGGAGCCAGCAAAGGACGTTACATCCCTCCTCACCTCAGGAACAGAGACGCATCCAAAGGACTCTCGGATAGGGAAAGCTCAGCATGGAGCTGCGGTAGAGACAAGGATGCCTACAGCAGTTTTGGGTCTCGTGATTCGCGGGGCAAGTCCAGTTACGTCAGTGATCGTGGAAGTGGAGCGAGGGGAAGATTTGATGACCGTGGGCGGAGCGGCTGTGACAGCGCGGGCAGCCGCGACAGAGCTGGCTTTGGCAAATTTCAACGGAGTGAACATAGTCGCTGGTGTGAGCGATCGGATGAAGACGATTGGTCAAAACCACTTCCACCCAGTGAACGCTTAGAACAGGAGCTCTTCTCAGGAGGAAATACCGGGATTAACTTTGAGAAGTACGACGATATACCAGTAGAGGCAACTGGCAACAACTGCCCTCCACACATTGAAAATTTCAGTGATGTCGACATGGGTGAAATTATCATGGGGAACATTGAGCTCGCTCGTTATACTCGTCCGACTCCAGTGCAAAAACACGCAATTCCTATTATCAAAGAAAAAAGAGACTTAATGGCTTGTGCTCAAACAGGGTCTGGGAAAACGGCAGCGTTTCTTCTACCCATCCTGAGTCAGATATATACGGATGGTCCAGGAGAGGCTTTAAAGGCTGCAAAAGAAAACGGAAGGTATGAGCGCCGCAAGCAGTACCCACTCTCCTTGGTGTTGGCCCCAACGAGAGAACTGGCAGTACAGATCTACGAGGAAGCCAGAAAATTTTCATACCGGTCTAGAGTTCGCCCTTGTGTAGTTTATGGCGGTGCTTGCATTGGCCAGCAGATCCGAGACTTAGAACGCGGATGTCACCTACTCGTTGCCACTCCAGGACGTTTGGTGGATATGATGGAAAGAGGAAAAATTGGATTAGACTTCTGCAAATACTTAGTATTAGATGAAGCTGACAGGATGCTGGATATGGGATTTGAACCTCAGATACGGCGCATAGTAGAACAAGATACTATGCCACCAAAGGGTGTCCGTCACACTATGATGTTTAGTGCTACCTTTCCTAAGGAGATACAGATGCTTGCTTGTGACTTCTTGGATGAATATATCTTTCTGGCTGTAGGCAGAGTAGGCTCTACTTCTGAGAACATCACCCAGAAAGTAGTTTGGGTGGATGAGATGGACAAACGGTCATTTCTGCTTGATCTCTTGTGTGCAACAGGAAAAGACTCACTGACTTTAGTGTTTGTGGAGACCAAAAAGGGTGCAGATTCTCTGGAGGATTTCTTATATCATGAAGGTTTTGCCTGTGCCAGCATTCATGGAGACAGATCGCAGAGAGATCGAGAGGAAGCACTTCGCCAGTTCCGCTTGGGGAAAAGTCCAATTCTGGTTGCTACAGCTGTGGCAGCCAGAGGTCTAGACATTTCAAACGTGAAACACGTTATCAACTTTGATTTGCCAAGTGACATTGAGGAATATGTGCATCGCATTGGTCGTACAGGGCGTGTAGGAAACCTTGGCCTTGCCACCTCCTTCTTCAATGAAAGAAATGCAAACATCACAAAGGATTTGTTGGATCTTCTTATAGAAGCTAAACAAGAGGTCCCATCTTGGTTGAAAAATATGGCTTTTGAACATCATCACAAGGGGAGCAGTCGTGGACGTTCTAAGAGCAGATTCACTGGAGGATTTGGTGGCAGAGACTACCGACAAAATAGTGGTTCTGGCAGTTCTTGCAACAATCGTGCCAGCAGTAGCCGCAGTGGTGGAGGTAGTCATGGTAATAGCAGAGGATTTGGTGGAGGTGGCTATGGAGGCTTCTACAGTAGTGATGGGTATGGTGGGAATTATAACTCCCAGAGTGTTGACTGGTGGGGCAACTGAATCTCTTTTGCTATAGTCATCATCCTTTCATACAAGATAATATGGTAACCACATGTGACTTAGCCAGACTATTTTACGTGTAGCTTCAAGAATCGGCAGTACTTTACCAACTGCAATTCTCCTAAAACTTTCAAGAGCAATCTGGTCTATAAGTTAACCTTGGCACACAGGTGTGATTGGATTTAGCAAGGATAATTCGTCAGTATATAAGAAGGAAAGTCTAGTGCAGTAGCCTTTGTTAGGGTTTTGATACTTGCAGACCCTGGAAGGCAGAAAGACATTTTGAAACATAATTATTTTCTAATATGACAAGCAACTAAATTTGTGACTTGCTCATTCTATCCTGGATAGGCATTTCAAATCTTAAATTATAAGAAGCTGTTCAAGTCATGAAGTGTGATGTGAATACATGGTAACTTTTTTTGAAAGTATTCTTTAAAATTAATACAAGTAAATACAACAATTCCTTATTTAATGTTTAGCTGTTTACTAATTTTAAGCTTGTAATCTGTGGGCATATTATTGCAGGAAAAGTTTAAAAACCTGATAAAGTGTTTGAGAGAATATACTTAGATTCTTTAATGCTTTCCATAAATAAAATTGAAATTTTAAAATAGCTATCCATAGGAATGACCAGTCCATGATACAAGCCTTGGGTTTTGGTCTTTACTGGATATGATGCTGATTTGCTTGTTTGTTTTTTGTTCAAGAAAGTATTAACTGAAATGATTATGCAGCAGGCTTTATTTTAATGCAGATTCACATTGCTTTGCTACAGTTGAATTAAAATGTTAAGATGGTTTATATCATTTACATCATTTACTGTAGATTTTGTAAATCTGAGAATAAGGAATTGAGATTGCACCGGTTGCAGCCATGCACTAAACTGCACAAGGTGTCAGTTCTTCATAGTGCAGGTTTATTGTATCTTAGTTGCATATGTTTCCACTTTATTTACAGTCTTTGTGCTAAATTTGTCCAAAGATGATTGTCCACTACAAAAAAGAAAATGCTCCTCCACTTGGGATGTTGTGGCCACGATGTGCTGATCTTTAAAAATAAATCCTTAGAGTGGCATAAGTTGACAAATTTCTTAAAGTGCAATAAATTTTTAGGTGTTTTTTGCCTTGTTCTAAACTACTAAAGTAGGAGCACTTGACAGTATTGACATCATCTGTCATCGTGCTATTTCAATTAGTGTACATTTACACTCTTGAATATCCACTTTGCCCATAATTTTTACAAAGTACTTACTATATTGCACATTCAGACATATATATTGTATATATTGCATGAGCATCCTTAAATATCTCATCTTATTTTGTCTTTTGATTGTTGAACAGAGCTCATCGAAAGCTAGTTTCTAAAATTTTATTTGGACCATGGATGACAGTTAAAAGAACTATTTGTACATGATGAACCCTAGATAATTTTGCTGCTAGTTTGTGCAATATTTATTGAACATTTTGACAAATTTTTATGTTCGTAAGCCTAAAACTGATTCTTTGAAAGTTTATAGAAACTTGACCAAAAGACAGTACAAAAACACTGGCACTTGAATGTTGAATGTCACCATTATGAAATAATGTATTTTAGAGTAGTGTGAGCTTTTAGTGTTAAGTCCTATTACAGCAAATTACTGACATTGGTATTGGAGGTTAGAATTTTCTGATGAAAGTTAAAATTGGCAACTTGAAATTAATACATGCCAAAGTTTTAATATACTTGTCTTTTAAGAAATTAATGAAAATACTGGTAATCAAAGTTTTTCTGAGTTTTGTTTTGTTCATGTGTTTGGTTTTCTTTTCAGTGATTGTCCGACATATTTGCAATCTTCCAATGTGTGGTTATTTTTGTATGTTGCCATAATCAGTGACTTTTACATTCTGTGTTCTTATTGGCCAGTAAATAATAATTTAACTTTCTGAATGTAAACATTGAATCTTAAGTCACTGTAAGTTTCATTGTGTATTGTATTAGTTTTACATGGTAGCACTGCATGTGCTGTGTTTATTCTGATTTTACTAAAATAAAAAGTTGAAGTCTTTAAAAATTTATAAATGACGGAAGTAGTACAATCATTTTCCTGTAGCTGGATCCTTAAGGTGTGCCTGATATTTTCCTATTATAAATACTAATGTATTTACTTATATGTGTTTTACTTTATTTTCTTAAATTTAAAACTGACACAAGTGGAAATGTGTGAACAAATAGCATGAAATTTGAAAGACAGTTGGTATACATTGCCAAACCCGGAACATGCATAGCAATTTATATTCATGCCTGAGGGAGAACAGTTCTACCAACGATGTTTATGAATGGCTATCAATTGATAAAAATAGTATTTTCCATTTAAAACTGAATTTCTTTGAATAATCTTATATGTACAGTGACAACATAGATTTCATTCTCTTTGGACTATTTTTCCCATGTGATTTGTCCATTTTTCTACACAAAAACTAACATTTTCTATTGATTTGTACCAATTGCTATATTTGAAAAATGATTTATCCTATTTGTTTCATGTATCAGTTTTGGTAACCACATTTAAGTCCTATGGAGGTAGTACAAAATCAAAATAGAGTGATACATTCACAGTACAAGCACAAAATTATTTTTGAATAATACCTTTTAAAAACTTCTCCCTTGTTTAGTATCTTAGTGAAATTCTGAAGAAGTCACAGAAAATATCCAATATTTTGCACATGGCCCAGATATCAAAGAAACACTCCCCAAAATGGACTGTCTTGCTTGGACAGTGGGCTGTTCCTGAATCTTGATGAGTCGCTGCAGAGCTTCATACCCATTGCTTCTAGTAGATTTTCCTGCCTCCCCTATACCATTGGCATAACTCCGAATTTTCATGTTTCATCAGTTCCAGACTCACATGTGTAGGCATGACATTGTCTCCTTGGTGTGAGAAACTGAAAGAGTAAATAAGGTCTAGAATGTACAGTAAATACTGTAAAATGGGCAAAAAATTGTTCTCAAGGAAAAAGGACCTAGGATGGGGGAAAAGAGAAAGGATGGAAGGGAAATTGGGAAAAAAATGCAAGTCAATTATAATGTTAGTTTTTCAGTTCATTGAAAAGGAAGATTTGTGCTAATAGCGAATAGAGAAATTTGAATTCCATGGCCTTTACTTGGAAGAACTACTTTGAAGATAACAATATGCAATGCATTAACAATTGTTATTCTATTATTTTGTTATGAAATATTTTTACTTTTCTTCTATAATATTAAAAATTAAATAAAATAAAATGAACATATATAACTCTGCTTTAAAATCCCCCTTCCTAAAACTATTTTTAAATATGCATAGTTTTTCACACCCTGTAAATCAAGCTAAATATCTTTTTCAAGTGACACCTTCACAAGGTTGGAGGAAAGGGTGCATAATACTGAAGAAAAGACTCCCCAGGGTCCCATCAGCCTACATCACCCAACATCTCCTGTCATGTGAGTATATTTGAAATGTATTATAAAATCTAGAAATGAGTGACTGCAGCTACACCAAAGGACAGTGAATCTAATTAATACATGACTTACTAATAACGTCTATAAAATAAGAAAATCCTAGAAACATATGGAACAAGAATAGAAACATATAGAGAAAAATAACTTGCTTTATTCAGTAAACAGCAACAAAAGCAATAGTGGACTGTCCTTCCCACCCCAAAATAAATTTCTGGTTTGCATGGTCATATAGATGCCAGAACGAAGTCCTTGCTTTTTTTCTGACAAAAATGAGGAGGAAGAGCAGAAGCATACACAAAGATGGCAAGGACTTGCTTTTCCTAAATATCATCCCATGACTGGACAAATAGGATCTGTCAAGGCTTCAAATTTTTCTAAAAATAGCAGAAAATAGCAAGATCTAAATCACTCCAATTACATTTATATCTCACCTGTCTTTTCAAGAATAATACACATTTGTAATCAATTACCCTTTATATTACAAGAGCAAGGTAAGATTTATAAATGGAAAACATCTCAATTCTTTGAGAATTAAATGTCTAAATTGAATACACAAACTGATACTCTGCAGTTGATGTAAAACTCATATATATATATTTAGGTACCGGGGATGGAAAACATAACCTCATGCTTGCCAGGCATAACACTGAACTAAACCCCCGGCCTTTTTGGTGGGGCAGGGGAGGTACCAGGGATCAAACTCATGATCTCACGCTTGTCAGGCAGGTGCTTATGCTACTGAACAAAATACTTAGCTCCCTAATTCGCTACTATTTAAATTTAGAGTATAAAATGTAAGTCATAACCAATAATGGAGTTGTTACAATGTAAAATATAAGTCACAACCAATTTTGCTAATTAGTATTGATGTGTCATTGATTGTGAGTTATTACATAAAATGGAGATGGTATATTACACAAAGTGTTCAGAGAAAGCTAATAATTCTTCTCATGTCAGGTAATTCAGACACTGTAGAGTCTGGTTTAATATTGGAAATCATTTGATGGTATTTAGCAGCTTCTTCTGACCTTAGCAATCACTTTACACAATTACCTCAAGTAACAAATGAGAAAATAAAACAACAAAAATTATGATTAAATACACTGACTAACCAATGAGCATACAACGAATTAGTGGCAAAGATGGAACTTGAACTTGGATTTCTGATAATATATCCAGAATTTTCTCCATTGTAACTGCAACAATTCTCTACAGAAAATAGTAAATTAACATTTATCTATGCACTCAACAGTTATTTTGATGGAATGAGACAGTGATTCTAACATTAAATAAGGTATAAATGGAGCAAACATAGTTATGTACAGTGGTACCTTGGTTCAAGAACTTAATTCTTTCTATGATTCTGGTCACAAACTGAATTGTAAAAGAACCAAATCAAATTTCCTCATAAGGTTAACATTGAACTGAACCACTGAATTTGATTGTTTTTGTCCAGTTCCATTTCCGACCAGAATAAAATCTCAACAAAAAGAAAAAGCTATACAATAACAGTAGTAATCATCTTCAGATGAAACAATTAGAGATAACTCTTGCTTTACTTTTTATAATAACTCTGAATATATTCTCCAATTTATGCTCAGCAAACAATATTAATTGCACATATAAACAATTTTCAAATGTTGTAGAGAAAAATAATATATGATAATATAAAATACATATTATGGCATTATATAATCCATACAATATACTGTACTTGCATTCTTACAAGAAATTTATCATTGTTTTTCAAAACCTTATTTAAACACAACTCCATTAGGATGATGTTTACAAAAAGATGTAGGCATATAAATCAGCTTTGGAGACGTG